TGGGCTTCGGCACGGGCAAAGCGTCTCCAGGCCCGGAAAGCTCCAGCCCGGGCTGAAGGCGGTCGCTTCAGAAATACAAAGTGGCCATTTGCTGTTTGCATGGGCAGGTTTTGCTTCGGAAAGCGGTATTTAGGCAGGGGGAAAGCCAAGGATATGACCTAAATGGGTTGGATTGTGGCTGTTGGTTGTTTTTTTTTTTAAAAAGCCCAAAGGTGGCTATTTCCAAAGGTCCTACATGACCCAAAAGACGCCCTGTTACAGCCCAAATCTCAGCGGAGTACTGCCCTTAGCAGACCTTAGCTGAGGCTGGAGGGCTGCCTGCGCTCCATACTCGTGTGGCTTTGCTGTTGTTTTGGGCAATGGGTCAGGTCTGATGGGGAAGCCGGGGGACAGGCTGCCGATCAAATAACCGTCACAACTGGGACCATCTCCAAATAGCCACCATTGCAGGAAAGGTTAGAAACCAGCTGGCTAAAAGACAAAGTCCAGGGCATGCTGTGCCCTCGCTTTCACACTGAAGAGAGCCCAAAGGGGCTCCTGACCAGCCAGCTATTGCCTAAGCACCCCAAGACAGCACAACGGGGAGAGAGTCTGTGTATCTGTCCTTGCCACTCACTGTGCCATCAGCTTTTAAGAGCTACCTGCAGGGAACAGTATTTAGGAAAAGAAATCCATCCAAAAATCCATCCCTTTGTGACTTGGAATCTGACCCCAAATTATGATTCATGACCAAAAGCAATGAAAAGAGCTTGTGGTGACTTGAACAATGACTTTTCCAAGCAGAGGCAGTGCTAAGTGGGGAATGTGAGACTCCTGAGAAAGCAGGAGGAATGCACTCCAAGCCTGAATGCTGCAGATGAAATTTGTTGCATCATATAATCTGTTTTTGTGCTTTGAGTTTCAGCTAGATGGGGAGATACTAAGATAGCACGAGAAAGGCCATTTCTGCGAGATCTCCAGTCCAGATTGGGAGAATCAGTCAGACTGCCAGGATCACCAGCGATTTTATTTACTTGTCTTTTTCATTCCCTTGCTAAACCCCATCTCCAAATGGAGCCACCAAGGAGGGAGTGTCAGCATATAGGTGCTGATCAGAGGCAGAGAGGGAAAAGGTTAAGATATAACAGCTGAAAGTTGTTAGATGAAAACATTATTTTTTGAAAGAGCCTGAGAACACTGCAGTTTTATAAAACCTCCCATTGTATTGCACTAATAAGTCAAGTGTTCGCAGCCGAGCCAGCAGACAGACTCTACAGCATCTATTACTGGAGTGTTTATTTACGGAGGCAGCTACCCAGCCAAAGCCGATCAGAAAAGAGGAAGGACTGAAATACGGTTTTAAAGAAATACAGCTCCTTGGACTTGTTTTAATTTAAAATCCTAGAACTGGGTTCGTCGTTTTCTTTTGTGTTTCGCCCCCTCCTCCCCATTTCTTCAAGGAATGAATTGTCCAAAGCCAGCCAGCCAAAGGGGAATTTTCCTCTAGGTGTCTCTGTCCCCATTTTTATTCTCCATTTTCTCGCATACACACACGCGTACACACACACACCCCTCCCACGCGCACGCACGCACGCACACACACTCTTCTTTTGTAGCCTTCCCAGTCCAGCATCACCTTTTCATTACCATAGTGATCTCCCACATCCCAGCACAGTGCTCCCTGAAGCACTTTATAACTCAAACCTGCCCCAGCACCTTTCTCTGTCCCCTGGTGCAATGTGGCCACCCCAGGCAGGAGGCACCAGCTGCGCACAGGAGCAGCACATGGTGGCAGGGGACAAGAAGCCGGCCCTGCCAGCTGGGTCCTGCCAGCCCAGCGGGGCCATGGGCAGGACGCTGTGGATGATCTGATTTCATCTGAGCAGACACCTGCACCCGTGCTGGACATAGGGCTTTGCAAAAGAGTTATCACCTGCTCTTAAAAAACCAGGAGGGATGGGGCCTGGACTTATTGGATTTGACCAGAAATCCAAAGGTATGCACACACAGAGGCACCGAGTGCTCTGCTATTGTAGTTCAGGAGAAAGCACTGTCTATCAGCCCATACCTGCTGCTGCAAACATGCTCCTCTCTCTCCTTTTGGAGTATTTTGCATCCCAACCAAGGGCACATGGAAGGAGAGGAACAAAGAATCCCTCCAGGCTTTGTCAGGGAGAAATGTGTGGTCACAGTAACACACCACTGCCTTCCCTAGCAATGGGGGACGGTGCGGGAAGCTGGGGGAGGATGGAGGAGAACAAGGCGAAAAGAAAAGGTGGGAGCAATTTTAAACAAAAGGAAAAACTTACATTAAATTATTGCTTTATTTCTGGTTCTATGCAAGTCTCTGACACATTCCACCCTGCCCCTCGAGACACCATGTCTGCCCCCAAACAGCCCAGTAAGGAGGAGAAAGACCTGAAGGGATCCTGCCCAAGAAAGGAGCCTTCCCAAGACTTGGATCTACAGAGGAGTCTCTTAGTTAAAATAAAGTCCCCAGCCAAGGCAAGCCCTCCTACCCAGCAGTGTCCGGTCCCACCAGCATCCCCTGTAGATGCTGAAGGGTGGGAGGGAAAGGGAAGGAAAAGCTCCAGCCCCGGTGTTTTGAGAGGTGTCCTCCCTCCGGACCATGCGTGAACGAGGCATCAGGATGTGGAGCAGACCATAATGGAGAGGGCACGGGGGAGAAGTCAACCAAAAGATGAGCACAGGGTGGGAGGAGAGGAATTGTGGCAAGATGAGAGTTACCCAGCTCTCCCTCACCTCTCCCTCACCTCTCCCCCCAGCCCCTGCCTCATCGGATGCGGAGGTACGAGGGGATGGAGTAATTGAAGAGCAAGTAGTCCATTTTGTATAAATTAAAGAGTCTCCTTTGGTAGAAAGGGCTAATGTCCTGGAAGAACTGGGCCGTCATGTCGTCCGTTGTCCTGGTGGTCTTGGATGAAGATGGGAACTTGACACTTGTGTCAGCCCCAACCAGCTGAAGGATGTAGTTGGCATCTTCGACCAAGGTTTCGTACTTGCCCACCACGTCGTAGTGGACAATGCAGGGGTGGCAGAGCGAGTGCACCCTCTCCCAGTGCTCGGTGCAGGGCTCCTCCCGCTGCGTCCGTGGATCCAGCAGGTAGTAGACAAACTCCTCAAAGCGCACATCATCCCCGCGCTCCAGGGCCTTGTCACTGGGTTCCTGCCGGTGCCGACGGATGATCTTGGTCCCGTAGCGCTTGTGGAAGGCCGTGTTGTAGCTGCGGGTGAACTTGTTGCGGTACGCCGAGACCAGGCGCTCAAAGGGCTCCCGCACGAAGATGAACTTGAGGTAGCTGCGCAGGCGGTGGTTGATCTCGGGAATGCTGTACTCAGAGAGGGTGCGCAGGTTGGATGAGACGTGGGCCTCATTGGCGGGGATTTCCAGTGGGTCCTGGTACTTGCCTTGCCCTGTCAGGACCATCATCACCCGCTTCCAGTTAGTGCAGGCCACTTTGGGCACGTAGCAGTAGAGCAGCCCATGCGTGTCATCCACCACCAAGTGCCGCAAGTCATCCGGCCGCAGGAGACGCCGCTTGCGGGTGTAACGGTTGCAGATGTTGCTCAACAGCTCCCGTCTCTGCTGGTGAACGACCTGCAGTGATGACTGCTCAAACTGAGGAGAAAAAAAAAAGTGATGGTCACCAGCATGCCCAAGACGATCATGGCCTACACACAACACTTGGCCCACAACTGTCCCCATTCCCTCCCCTTTCCTGGGTTTGGCAGTCACCCATGTGGGATTTTTGGGGACAGCATTGACTTTGAACACAACTTGATTTGGTGCATTTAATCCTTGGACCTGCTGGGGGCAAAACACAGAACAAAATGTGGTGAGGAGCCAGATGAGAAGTCAAGTCAAAGGGGGTGAGGGAAGAACAAGTGGTGCAGAGAGGGACAACAACCGACCATTTGTTACAGCACCCCCGCACACACTGGGCTAAAG